ACAGGGACAGTTCCAACAGAGTTGTCAATGGAGTAAAGACTCTGCACCAGGTTAAATCTGATGTTCCCAGACCTGGGGGGTGAAGGTGAAATGGCACCAGGAACGCCAATGTCAGACAGAAGACTCCGCTAAGCAAGAGAGACAGTTTACTTCAGAGGACAAAGTTTGCTGCCAAAACCATAGAAATGTCCCTGCATGTGTAAGAGGCAGGATTGACGTGAGGTCAGGTCCCATGCTGTACAAAGTTCGGGTAGGTGAGGCAGTCCTGAACAAGCACATGGACCACATGAAAGCTGCAAACTCACAAACAGGGCACGTGTAAAACATACCCAATCCCTCAGAACAGCTGGAAAGCCTGTCAGAACGTGTGGGTTCTCCCCCTCCATCTAGTGTCAAAGAAACCTCAGGGTCTGAGATGGACATGACGGATGACACAACCTCAATGGCTTTACCACCTGAAAAAAGGATGAATTTCTTACGAGACTCCCCAGGTGATACATCCCGCTTGTATTTGAGCCTGAGTTGGAGGAACCCGACCCACTGTGAAAACACCCCAGGAGAGGCTACAAGAAAGAGCACAGGGCCTATGTCTCTGGATTTACAGGGGGAGGGATGTAGTGATTGTAATGAGGCCAGCCAGGAGAACATCATAGAATATGAGTTCCCTGATTGGGGCTGTTAACCTGGTTCAATCAGGGAGTCCGGGATGACAGATATAAACAGGAATGTCAGATGTCCGCTTGGGAATCCTGCAGCCCAATGGTATCAATGTGGATTTCACAAGTTTCAAAATCTCCCCTCCCCCTACCGCATCCCAAAACCAGTCCAGCTCATCCCTGCCTTCCTAACCTGTTCTTCCTCCCACCTATCCCCTCCTCCCACCTCAAGCCGCACCTCCATCTCCTACCGACCAACCTCATCCCGCCCCCTTGACCTGTCCGTCCTCCCTGGACTGACCTATCCCCTTCCTAACTCCCTACCTACACTCACCTTTACTGGCTCCATCCCTGCCTCTTCGACCTGTTTGTTTCCTCTCCACCTATCCTCTCCTCTATCCCTCTTCTATCCGCCTCCCACTCTCTCCCTATTTATTTCAAAACCCCCTTCCCCTCCCCCTTTTCTGATGAAGGGTCTAGGCCCGAAACGTCAGCCTCTCTGCTCCTATGATGCTGCTTGGCCTGCTGTGTTCATCCAGCCCTGCACCTTGTTGTCTCGGATTCTCCAGCATCTGCAGTTCCTACTATCTCATGTCAGATGTCCTGTTCACTCTGACAGCTGGCTCTGAGGAAGATGGATCACTGTCATGTACTATACACATGTAAAATAAAGGGTGACTTAGTGACAGGATACTGGCCTCTGTGGAATTATTTCAGCCTTCTTCTCAGCCAGCTGAGTTTTCTATTCCAATCACTGTTTACAGATTCAGCATTAAGAAGTCATGGCCATAGGTCTCACTGTTGTCTGTATCAATGTCCTCCGTCTTTTTTTCTCACTTGTAAGTTTCCGTCTATTTAGAGTACGGATGTTCAACAGGGCATGACAAGTTTCCTGTAAGGAATACTGGGAGTATGGCCATCATTTGATCACATGATAGTAATATGTAGGGTATGCAGAGTAGTTTGATCTTAGAGTAGGATAATAAGTCAACACAACATCATGGGCCAAATGGCCTGTACTATGCTGTACTGTTCTATGTTCTACTTATCCAATGAACAGGGCTGAACAATCACAGGCATCATTGACTTAGTAATGAGTGTATGCTAATGCATTCAGTATGCTGCAGAACCTCTATGCTGGTGATCTTGTCCCATCCCCCAAGAGATGTCAAGGATCAGAATGAAATGGAGAAGGTGGAAACTGTTCAGCCTTTTTTCCCAGCATAATACTAGTTGTCCGAGTCTCACTACTGTGAAGGAATGCATTGAGAATACAGGCTTTGCAGTCTCACAGTTTCAAGTTATCCATCGAGTTATGGTTGTTCCAACCTTTTAGCTTGCCAGAAAAATTGCAGCTTTTGCAATGCAGGTGTTGATTTCAACATCAAGTGACAGATTGCTGATGATTGTGGAGCCTCGTTAATGTGAAGCTATTAACAACTGGACTCATTACTTTGGTGATGGGTGGCAGTAAACCAACACCTTTGACCATGACATTTGTCTTTCTAAAGCTGATGGTCAAAGCAAACTCTTCACAGGCTTAAGAAAGTCTCTTTACTGCTGAATGTGTTCCTCAATATGGAATGCTCATGTAGCATCTTGGCAGGATGTGATGAATGGCTTCCAGCAGGGCTCTGTGCTGGGACCTCAACATTTTACAATTTATATCAATGATTTTGATGAACGCAATGAAGACATTGTAACTAAATTTGCAGACAAGGCAAATATAGTTGTGAAGAGGACCTAGGAAGATGCAGATAGATATAAATAGGTAGAGTGAGTGGACAATTATCTGGCAGAAGGAGCATAATGTGGGAAATTATGAAGCTAACATTGACAAGGAGAATAAAAAAGCAGTGTATTACTTAAATAGAGAATGACTGCAGAATTCTGAGGTGCAAAAAGTGTTCTGGTACATGAGTCACAAATAAGTAACATGCAGGCCACATGGGAGGAAGTGGTGGCAAAGTGTTAATGTCACTGGACCAGCTATCCAGAGTCTCACTTTATTTAGGACACATGGCTTCAAATGCTGGCCGTGGTAGCTGGGAGAATTTAATTTCAACAAATAAATGTGCAGTGAAAAGCAAATTTTACTGAGTGATGTTCAAAATGCTGTGAGTTGGTTTCCTTGCAGTGAGATATGGCTGTCTAACAAAGGTTTCCCATAGAAAGTAGACTCAGTGTTTGGCCATCATTCATCTAATGATACCTTATTCATTAGCTTACTTATGAGTGTGATCTTTGTTAGGCAAGGGAATCAAAGGTTATTGGGAGTAAATGAGTATGTGGAATTCAAAACACAAACAGACTAGCTGTTACTTTATTCAATAGCCCCAGCAGCCAGCCGGTCTACTTAGGCCAGTCAACCCATCAATCTGTACCAAGCACTCTAAAGATCATCCCACCCAATCTCCTTATCACACACTTACCAATGCTCATCCTCCTAGCCTGGTGTCCTTGGAAACTATAGACAATTTATCATGGCCAATCCACCCAACCTGCACATCTTTGGACTGTGGGAGGAAACCAGAGCACCCAGCAGAAATGGGGATAATATGCAACACCAGTCACCCGAGCTTGGAATTGAACCTATGTCCTTGGCACTGTGAGGAAGCAGTGCTACCCAGTGAGCCACAATACCACACTGAGTGTGTTTAGTGTGTAGCCAGTGAAGGGTGATGGTACAGAGAAAATGAGTGGCAATGTGGATAGATTTTTAAGGGACTGGGTAATTGAGAATGGAGAATACTTTGGGGATTAGTCAGATGAAATAACATCTATTGGAAATGTACGACATATGTGGGGGCATTGGAATTTTGCAGAAAAAGATCAAACTATTTCTTCCAGTTACTATTTGGTTTTTTCTCACCATGGTAACATATCTGGAAGACACTTTCATCTGTTAAGAGGGAAGTATAAATGTTTTTTTTAAAAGAAAGATTTGCTGTAAATTCAAAAAGTGATTTCAGTTTCACACCATCGGTAAATGACAGCAAGTGAAATCAAAACAAAATATTATGCAAATTTCTGAGGAAATGTCAGTGTCCCGCCCGAGGAGCTTCGGAAACCCATGTGTATGAATCTGAAAAAAAAAATCCCCACTCTGTTATGCAGGTGTATTTAAGGGATACAAACGGTGGAGGGATGAGCATACCTGAACAAGGGGAGTTAACAGCCACTGCCAACATTCACAGGTGAGCCCCACTCTATCCAAGTGTTCATGTTGTGCTGCTATGGTGAGAAATCTCCTTTAACTGTTATGAGGGACAGTACCTTCTGTGTAATTACTTCACAGGAGAAGCAGCTTCAAGTTATAGTTTCGTGCTAAATGTTGTGTGGTACGTTCAATTCATGTGAAATACTGAAATAGAATGTTTCAGTGGAATAAAAGCACAATATACAAGAAATTAGTCATGAAACAAATTAATTGATTTGTTTTAACTAATTTCTAATCAACCTGTTCAGAGATGTGAGTACACACCTCTGGAACAGGTGAGACTCAAACTAGAGTCCTCTTGGCTTAAAGGTAGGGATAGTATCGCCGCACCCTAAGAACTCCAAAAGTAGCAACCGGAAGAACTGCGGATGCTGTAAATTAGAAACAGAAACAGAAGTTGCTGGTAAAGCTTAACGGGTCTGGCAGCATCTGTGAAGAGAAATCAGAGTTAACGTTTCGGGTCCGGTGATCTGAGAAAGTGTTCTGAGATTTCTCTTCACAGATACTGCCAGACCTGCTGAGCTTTTCCAGCAAATTCTGTTTTTGTTTCCAAAGGTAGAATTTTGGTTGTAAAGTGCTTTGAGAGGCCGCAAGTATATAATTCATTATTTCAATACAATGTCTCAGGATTACAACTTGTAACCATACAAATAGAACTCATGTCACTTGGTAAGGTAAATACAATCGATATCATAATTTGAGTTCCCTAATTATAACTATTAGTCCTTTATTGTCAATGCAAGAAATTAATGAATTTTATTATAAATAACTGAATATTCGTACACAGAACTTTTGTTTTAGCTTTCATGGATTAACTAGAAGTCGTAACATTCACCGACACCAAGTAAAAACTCATGCTATAAAGAATGAGTATTCGATTGTGGACGATAGAATGACAAGTGAAGGCTTTAATGAAATACCGGTTGTTAATGTCGTTATAATACTCGAGGCAATTGTGTGTGAACTAAACTTTGAGCTAGCCCACTAGGAGGTTTCTCTAATTTCAAACCGTTTACATCTGAACTGCAGATTCATTCCTGTTAAAGAAAGCTTGTTATTACATCATTACATGAACCTTTTGCCTACTTCTGGATTGTGTTGTAGGTTTCCCATTGTCTCAAATGATGAATGGTCTAAGTGCTCTTTTCTGGCTGACCGTTGTGGTCCTCTGCGAGCCCTTCCTTACACAAGCCAGGAGGTTACACTTCGGACGATGTTCACTGACTGCTAACATAGCCGAAATCCAGCAGGCATTCTCAGACATCAGACGGCCAATTGTAAGTCAAGATTCACTCCACCTTCCCGCTTACACCCTTTTATTATCATCTACCTAAGGGAAACAGTATTAAAACAATTTCTTCCTCCACAGCAAATGGAAGACACAGCTGATGATGTGAGGCTTCTGACCAAATCTGCATTACAAGGGATCCAGGTACTGGCATCACCTATTTCACCAATGATCCTGACGTTCAGGTTATCCTTGTTATCTAGTGTATGTCGTGCTTAATAATGCCACTAATTCAAATAGACACCTTTTCAATCCATTTGTTATAAAGGAGTCGGGGTTATGTATTGTATTATCTGAAACAAAAACAAAAATTGCTTGAAAAACTCAGCAAGTCTGGCAGCATCTGTGGACAGAAAGCAAAGTTGTTTTGGGGTCCATTGACCCTTCTTCAGAATAGAACATATTTGATTAACTGGCCTGTTCTGTGGCATCTATTTAATCCTAAATATTTTGCCAGGATAACCAAGTGGTTGCTTAAGGCAGCAACAACACATAGTTAAATTGGTATCTAAATTACATCCTTGTCTATTGGGTGAGGAGAGCCCGAGGTATGCAGCCTTTCTCTCATTCCCTCACCAACCTGTCCCTGCTCTCATCTCTAGGCAGAGGAGAGCTGCTGTTTTCTGCGCCACATGTTGCAATTCTACGTGGAGACTGTCTTCAAACATCACACTCCATCCAGCTCCCTCATCGAGAGGAGGACCAACACTTTGGCCAACTCCTTCCTCAGCATCAAGCGAGATCTTCGGCAATGTGTAAGTAACAAAATCAGAAGCAATGTCACGTTATTTTAAGTGTTTATTGTGCACATCAGAATTGTTTTTTAAGTTGAAACATCATTCTATTGTGTTCTGAACGGGTCGTTGAATTAAATGCTATGATGACTTTCTTTATTGAACAGCATGCAGAGATGAAGTGTCATTGTGGAGAAGAATCCCGAGCCAAGATGAAGACGATACAAAATACCTTTGAAAATGTATGTTGTTATCTCTTTCATTACATAATGAGAATATTTACTTCCCATAGTGCAGCACTGATTAATGAAATATGTCAAAAGACTGAAAAATTCATGCAAAGCAAACATATTGCAAGTATTACTTTTTAGATAATAAATTAAAATGAGTACAGCACAAGACAAAAATAGGTCCAACTTTGGTGTAAATGATGCTGAATGCTGAAGTTGACTTCCAAGTTTTGAACTTTAAGCAGGACTCAAGATTAATGTTTCACTTGTTCTCCTCTCTGTGTTCACACAAAACACTCCACTTTAGAACAACGGTGAACTGCCAGAACCGATAGGACCAGCTACAAGTCCAGTTAAAATTCTATTGCAGGGTTGACTGTAAGACGGGTATTTAAATGGACAGTGTGAATTGATGTCCAGAACTATCCGATCTTCCACAATAATAAAGAATATCAACAAACAAGTTCTCTCATTTGAGTTGTTGCCATATCCACAGTTTATTTTGCAAATGACTTCATAAATCTCTATTCTTTTTCAGTTGACACTCAGGGCAGCTGCTGTTAAAGCTATTGGTGAAATTGACATTCTCATAGAATGGGTGGAACAAGATCACCAGAACTAAGTATTGCCTCACAACATACAGTGTAAAGAAGACTGAATATCAAGAAACATCTAGATAATGAACAGCTCAGAACAGAATTTACATGTTTAATTGTCAAATTAGGCTTGTTTTAAGTCCTTAAACCACAAACAGTTTTTTGTTGTTTTGCTTTATGTTGAGTTTTGAGAAATTACCAATGGCTTGCGACACAGTAATATGATGCTGGATACTTCCCCTCTAAATAATGAATGCAGTGAGAAAAGTGTGTACTTTCAGTTATGAGAGAAATTTGTATTTGTGGAATTCTTAATGCTGCATATTTGTCAGATGGATAGACATCGATATCTGTTAATTTTTATGAAGACACTTTTCAGTCATATTGCTAAACTAGGTTTAAGATGTTGTGTTTCGTGTCTGTACATGAAAAAGAGCTTGTAAGTACATATTGTACTGTTATTGTTAGCTATGCATATTGAAGTCAATAGATCACGTATAAACAAATTGTTTTCAAATCTTCTTCTATTAGCACTTAGTAAAATAAATGCTATGAATTGTACAAGCTTGCTGTTTTTATGTATGTATGTTGTAGAATGTAAAGACCATCACCCATTAATTTGTGCAGGTCCAACTGCAGGCACAGTACATTAATAAACAGCATGTATCAAAATAAAGATTTGAGTTTTAGCAGTAATGGGTGGTGTGGCGGGAGGGGTGGTCTGGTTGGGTTATAGCTGAGGCTATATATGATGTAATAGATTAATGACTTGGTACAGTTAAAAGTCATTATGATACAGTCATTACAGTACAGCATAAAATGTATAAGTCTAAATGTAATGGAACAGTACTGAAATAATCTCCACCAGCAAGAAAAGATAAGATTTCACAGTCCCGAGAGGAGATAAATTCTGTTGTCTCACAACTAACAATTTGCAGTAAGTTCAGAGAAAGGGGTATTAGCATATTGTTCGAAGAGTGTAGACCAGTTAGAAATAAAGTATAAAAGTCAAATGCAACATACCTTTGTTATTTCTGATCAAGTCTTGACCTGACAGGTGATGCTCCTGCCCCTAATTGTTAGAATAATAAGAATCATTGTTTGATTGTAATCACATACATGTTCAATAAATCCTAGAAATGGATCTATGCCTGGACTCTTGCTATTTTTAGTACTGAACTGGGAGAATGATATGTATCAGTGTGGTTTGAAAGACATAATTTCTGAGTTGAAGAAAACAACAAGGTTTTTAAATGTTTGGATCAATCTGAACAAATAGTTGGTAAAGGAAATGAACCCAGTGGCAATGATCAAGAATTCTAGTTTCAGTATTCCCAATACGCTGAGTTCATGTGCTTGAGAGGCTGAGGAGGGCGTGAGATGTACAAAGTTCTGAAGTGAATAGATAGAATCTTTAGGGAGAAACCTTTCCCCTTACTGGAGATGTCATTAACTGGCAGCATAGTATTAAGGTAAAGAGTAGGAGGTTTACAAGTGATTTAGGGTGAAGCATTTTCAGCCAGACGGTTGTAGGTAATTAAGGCTCACTGCCTAGAAAAATGATAGAGACTGAAAACCTGGAGACATTTAACAACAACTTAGATGAAAACTTGAAAGACCACAGCATACAAGGCATGGAAAATGGTATTAGAACAGATGGAGATTCAATAGGTAAAAAAAACCTGGTCAACATCTAGAGATTGACAAACCTCAAAGATTTACAATTCAAAAAATTGTATTTCCTGGATTAGGTCATAGCTAAAAGCGTGAGAATCATAAAATGCAACTTGTTTTACTGAAGATCTGGAGAAAGTTTGCCTGCGGCTATTCTAGTCAAGGATCTAAGTTTTAGAGTCATACAGCATCGAAGACTCCCTTCAGCCCATCAATCCTACACCAACCTATTTACACTTATCCCATTTTCCAGCATTGGCCCCAAATGCATGAATATTATGATATTTCAAGTGCTTGTCCAGGTATTTGTTAAAAGTTATGAGTTTTCCTACCTCTACTACCTTCCAGGCAATGCATCCCAGATTCTCCTCACTGCCTGGGTGAAAAAAAAACCTTTGCTCAAATCTGCTATGAACCTCCTGCCTATTCCTTTAAAATGATGGTCTTGTTGTTATTGACCCTTCAACTAAGGGGAACAGCTTTTTCCTATCCACCTACTCCATGGACCTCAAAATCTTATACATCTCAATCAGGTCTCCCCTCAGCCTTCTCTGCTCCAAAGAAAACAATCCAAACCGAACCAGACTCTCTTCACAGCTAAAGTGCTCCATCCCAGGTAACATCCTGATGAAGAGAGATAGTAGGAACTGCCGATGCTGGAGAATCTGAGATAACAAGGTGTAGAGCTGGATGAACACAGCAGGCCAAGCAGCATCAGAGGAGCAGGAAAGCTGACGTTTCAGGTTGTTTTCGGTTCGCAACAAACAACTACACCTCTCAGTCGCAAACCATTTCAACTCCCCCTCCCACTCCTTGGATGATATGTCCATCCTGGGCCTCCTGCAGTGCCACAATGATGCCACCCGAAAGCTGCAGGAACAGCATCTCATATTTCACTGGGAACCCTGCAGCCCAATGGTATCAATGTGGACTTCACAAGCTTCAAAATCTCCCTTCCCCTGACTGCATCCCAAAACCAGCCCAGCTCGTCCCCGCCTCCCTAACCATTCCTTCCACCTCAAGCCCCACCCCCATCTCCTACCCACTAACCTCATCCCGCCTCCTTGACCTGTCCGTCCTCCCTGGACCGACCTATCCCCTCCCTAACTCCCCACTTACATTCACCTTTACTGGCTCCAACCCCGCCTCTTTGACCTGTCTGTCTCCTCTCCACCTATCTTCTCCTTTATCCATCTTCTATCCGCCTCCCCCTCTCTCCCTATTTATTTCAGAATCCCCTTCTCCTCCCCCATTTCTGAAGAAGGGTCTCGACCCAAAACGTCAGACTTCCTGCTCCTCTGATGCTGCTTGGCCTGCTGTGTTCATCCAGCTCTACACCTTGTTATCTAACATCCTGATGAATCTCCTCTGCATCCCCTCCAGTGTGATTGCTTCCTCCTTATAGTGAGGTGATCAAAACTACACACAATACTCTAGTTGTGGCCTAACCAAAGTTTTGTACAGCTCCAACATCATTTCTCTGCTCTTAAAATCTATGCCACAACTAATAGAGACTAGTGTCCTGTATGCCCCAACCTTTTCCTCTGCCTTCAGGGACCTGTGAACAGCACTCCAAGAGCCTTCTGTTCCTCTGAGTTCTTAATGCCCTGCAGTTTCTCAGAATTAAGGAAAACTTCAAAATTAAGAGGTACTTAACTTGCATTTCTACCTGAAACTGGGTCTTGTGTTTCACATTGCCAGATGGATAGAACTTAGTGAGAGCTTTATTTTGAGTTGTCTTTGTGAAATTAATTCAGGCTCAGCCAGCAGGTATGATTGAATAGTTGTTTGGAAAAGCAGCTTAGAGACTATGAAAGCTTTGAGTCTTATGTAGTTTATAGTTCCTTGGAAGTTGAAGAATAAACCCAGGCCCACACTTTAAAAGGAGTACATACTAGATCCATTGTCCAGGATACAACCTGGTACCAGGGGCTGGGACAAAATTGAAAAATTGAAAAAGGGGAAAATGACTAGAAGATTTGTTTAGCTGGAAACTGAAGGAATAAATCTACCATAATCCTCAATAAGAGAGAGTTAACCTTGATCTGGTTGGAGTTCAGGAAATAACCAGTTTGCATGTCATTTGAAACTGTAGCCATGTGTTATTGGAAACCAAGGTATTTTCTACATTTTAAACCATTGAGCAGGAATTCCAGGGAGGCCCTTTTTGGAGTTGTGGAATACAGTGCTGTGAAGTTCATAAGGAAACTGAAGCATCACTTAGCCAAAAGATAATGGAAGGACCCCATCAATTCTTGTACTTTGGTGGATAGCTGGAATGTAAGAGAGAAATCAGTATGAATTCTGGAATGCTGTGCTTTATCTTTTGAATTGGTCCTAGGATAAGCGAATGAACCTTCAAGCTTTTTGCAAGGGAATGCTTAGGAAGGAATTTTAAAAAGTAGAATGGATTTTTTGAAAAAAATATTTATGGTAGGAGATTTCAATTTGTCCAATAGTAACTGGGATAGACAAAGAGCTAAAGGCATAGAGTGGGTGGAATTATTAAAATGTGTCCACGGGAATTTTTTAAACCAGCATGTAGGAAATTCAACAAGAGACAGGATGTCCTGGAGCTAGTTTTAGGGAACAAAGTTGGACAAGAGGTAAATGTGGCAGAGGGGGAGCATTTCATTGATAGTAACCGTAATTAAGTAAGATGTAAGGTTAATTATGGATAAGGACAAAGTTGGACTGGAAATAAAGGTTCTGAATTGGAGAAGGTTAATTTTAATAAGATAAAACAGGATCAGGCCAAAGTGGACCGGGAACAGCTACTTTCAGGAAAATCCACAATAGAGTAGTGGGAGATATTCAAAACGATAATAGTCGGAGTGCAGGGCCAACATATTCTCAAAAAGGTGGATCAGTAAGTCCTGAGAACCCTGAATGTTAAGGATTGTACAGGTTGGATATAAAATAAGAAAGGAGGTTTATGATAGATGCCGAAGGCTCGAAACAAAAACAATGGGTGCCGTAGAGGAGTATAGAGAGTGCAGGCGGTTGTTTAAAAAAATTAAGACAGTGAAGAGCAGACATGAGAAGATGTAGGGGCAAAGGAATAACACGGGAAAGAGTAGGGTCAATTAGCGACCAAAGTGGTAATCTGTGTTTGGAGCTGGAAGCCATAGTTGAGGAATTTAAATGAATACTTTGCACCTGTTTTCACTGTAGAGAAGGACAATGTAGGTATAGAAATCAGGTTTGGAGACTGTGATTTACTTAAATGAGTTAGCATAGACAGAGTGGAAGTACTAATGGTTTCAGCAGGTTTGAACTTGCATAAATTCCAGAGGCCAGAAGGGATATATCCCAGGCTGCAGTAAGAGGTAAGTGACAAGATTGCAAGGGC